CTTTACTGTGAAAAAGACATAAACAAAGTACCGTTACAAATGGCGGAATCTGACCAATAGTCTTTCAGACAACTATGTCGTATAACTAACCTAAAAGCTGACCTAAAGGGGATAATAGATTAGAACAAGACTGAAAACTAGAGATGAAACTAGAGAAAGAACAATTAAGCGTTTAATAAACAATATGATTTGTTGTTCTGCACTAACATTATTTTATAAAAATGCGTGGTTGCCAATTTTTGTGTGATGTAATAGTTGTATATAGCCGTCTCGTAGGTACTGGAATTAGTTGAAAGCCCGATTTAGGTAAAAAAGAGTTTTAAATATATTTTTGCACCACATACCCCAAAAAGATAACAGAAACTATAGCGTTTGTGGTGACATTACTTCTCTAACCTATGGAATAGAAACAAACAAAAAAGCAATTTTTTTCGAGGGTTTATAATCCCATATCTGTTTTGCCAAAAGCAATAAAATAATAGTAAGACAGTTAAAAACTTGGTTTCATAGTATAAATGATAAATTCAGCCAAAATGTCTTCTGATACCAGCTTGCTTATTTTAAATAAAACATCCTTTATATTATTTGTATTCATTTTTTGGATCCTAAGCGAGATTTATTCTCTTTTTTGGCCACTCTGTACAATTGTTATCCAAATCCCGAGTGAAATCTACTAAAACATGTCCCCTACACTCGTACGAGAAATCCATTACAAATCATACCTGCATTTACCATTGTAGGTTTGGGATAATATGGAATGTTTTTGGGATCTCGCGTAAATGAAAAACATGCAGGTATTTAAACTAATCAAGTTGGTATCTTCTTTCGGTACAACCGCAAATGCCACAATTAATTGCTCTTATAATAATACATAATATGTCTTTATTGTATCATCAATATCACAACGTAACATTGAAAAGTATGAAGCAAATGGCGGAGTCTAGCCATTGGCCAATCTACTCAATCAATATTTGTGAATATAAAAAAGTCTAAATTAAGTATGCATAATACTTTAAACTATAGAAATGTATATTAATGTATAGGTGATACAGTCTTAAAAGCTTATAAAATTTCAGTGTTAGTGTGTACATAAAATATATTAAACACAGATTAAGTGCTACCAAAAGTACTGTTACTATGTGTCAAAAATAGTGACTTAAATTTATGATGATTTGCTGTATTCCTAATATTGATGTCTAATGCATTATAATATTTAGCGATGTTATACGAGTAAGAGCGCTGAAACATGGCTGTGCGATGTCTTAGTATGGGTAATGTGTTCATATCTATGCTTGATCTAAATGTTAACCTGTTCAATAAACGTAGTGGTGAATTAGTGGTTATAATAAATTTTATAAGAGACAAAGATAAACATTTGAACAGGTTATTAATTTAAAGCTATCCTATACCTTTGATTGGGCCAGTTACATGATCATATTTCCTAATATTATTTGTTAACCGGCAACAAGAATTTTGAATCGTTTGTAATCGTTAGGCGAACACTGATCTAAGGATAATACGTTTATTCCAAATGAAATCTTGGAAATGATTAATGGATGATATGCATAAAGGTGAGTGGGTTCTCAGAAGTAGCGACTCCATATTGTAGCGAGTAATTACTCCTGTTAGGGAGAGCCTACTCGGTTTTGATATGCATAAAATATTTGTCCAGAAACGGAGAGGCTCCTCAAGTGCTAATGAAGTAATTGAGTAGACACTCTGGTTTTCGAGTTCCGACTTGTATTTTGTTGTCTCGCCGAATTGGCAATTTCTCTATTGCGATCAGTTACTACTGTATACCGGTAAACGTTTGTGTCGGTGGTGTTTAGGTCGATTATTATTCGTTCATTTACATGATGTCAACCTATTCTGAAGACCATTCATCTGAAAATCAAACAGTATTTGTTAATATAATTAAACAGTATCCTGTTTTGTTGGAAAAATGTAACATCCCGGAAATCAAAAATAAACGACGTAAGGCGGTTGAAGAAATAAAAGAAAAGGTAGAAGCCGAATCAGGAGTTAAATATAATGAAGGGCAGATTTGGAAGAAGATTCAAAACATAAAAACCAGATTATAAGCGAAGACAGACAGAAATCAAACCGGAAACAAACCAATAAAATTGAAAGGATGGGAACAAGAACTGTTCAATTTTCTACAAGGAGAATCAAATCCTAGTATTGCTCGATTGCAATGTTAGTTGTATTTTTTTGTTTTTCCATACAGTAGGTATAAGATGTGATTGAGTATAATATATATACATGTCAATAAATATAAATAGCGTATATTTTAAATTTTAGGTGCTGTTGTGGCAGGTTGCCCACAAAAAATCGTTGATTACACTCCAACAGCCTGTTCTAAAGAAGAAACAATCACCAAAGAAGCATCTGGAAGTTCAAGACCAGTACTGAAAGCTACCACAATGAAAGCCGGACCCAGGACCCAGTAAGGAGCCTTCTAAAAAAAGAAAAACGAGGATTAGTGGAAACCGATGAAACACGGGATTTATCAATAACAGAGCTCCAACGTCTCATTTTACTTGAACAACTACAAGTCTTTTGGCTAGCTAAGGAACTGCTACTTCACAAGGAAAATATTAATGAATCTGATCCAAATTTATCAACTTTAAATGAATGTGCAGAAACTGGAAATCCAATTTTCATGAACCTATTTCCAGGACAGAACTGACAGATATACTTCATGTTTCATAAATGTTATTTTTTATTAATTTTAAGAACTTTCTCTTACGTTACCATTTTGAAAGTGTCATTAATTTTGTTATAAGTAATTAAACATCCTTCTTCAACATATATCTACATAATTTGTAAATTTGAATGAACATGAATAATTCTTGATATTGCATCTGTTCTGAATTGACCTCTCTGGCTGCATAGTCGGCAGCATGTTGATTATGGATTTCTTCATCATTAAGGTGCTTAGCCACATTATGCAAGATAAAACAACTCATGACAAGGGACGGCACTTTTTCTGTATCGACGCGTATTTTGTTATGTAGAATGGGAAAACGCTGTTTTAGTTGCCCGAAACATCTCTCTATTATAACTCGCTCTCTCGTAAACAGCCGATTGTATGATCTTTGTTCTGCTGTTTTTGCAATCCTAAAAGGAGTCATGAGCCAAGGAGCTATACCATACCCACAGTCTCTCAACAAAACAGCCCTAGCCCTATTCCATTTGATAACGTTGTATATATCAGAATTCTTCCATATCCAAGAGGTGTGTACAGATCCTGGCCAAGAAACATCCACACTTGTGAACTCTTCGTTTGAATTGCACGTTGCTTGTACATTTATTCTAGCAAAGTTCTTTCTGTTCACATATTCGCCTGCATATATGCGTATATGGGTGCAGTCGATAGCACCAATAGCTGAAGGAAAATTGAACTTTTCTTGCCACTTATTTTTAGCATTGTGTAGATCTTCACATGAGGTTGTGAATCTAATCCAAATATTCGACTTCTGCACAATGCGTGTTATAACGTTGGTAACGGTTCGGGATACCGTAGATTGATGGACACCAATATCTTCTCCTATGCCAATTTGAAATCCTGGATCACCCACATATCGTAAAGAAACCCTCATTCTTTCTATATTGCTCAAAGCACCGCCCCTAAATTCTTCTGTCTCTCCAAGAAAATGGTTACTTATCCACTCAACAAAACTCGGGAACTGCTTGTTGGTATATAACAGTTTTTGAGTAATCCATCACTGCAGTTTCACGCGAGATATCCTGTATAATGACTTGTGTACTATTGCCTTGAAGCCAGACAATGTCATTCAAAAGGCGAGAAAATAGGAAAATAGACCTGTTGCGAAAAATTACACAGCAGCACTTGAGGATATTCAATTTCGACAATTTTTGTACTGTATCCAATATAATAGTTCCGTCATTTTGAAAATATAGTCATTATTATAACAACCGCAAAATAACGCCAATTTCCACATCACTTCATACACGAGTTATTAGTTTTAGTTAAGGCCTCGCAAGATGCCGGACCAGGACAAATACTGCATTGTTTGCAAGACCGAGAATAAGAATTGACCAACAAGACCAAGACTGTGTTGCTAGACTCTTGCTGTAAAAACTACCTACCCATCTAACTTTTAAAACTGAATTTCTTGAATGTTTCTAATAAGTTAAAATATATAAGATCAAGCGGTTATTATGAGACTTTCTTGCAGGTTTGAAAAATCACAGGTTATAGAAATCTGTTTGGTTTGCACCATATTTTCCGCACACATTTCTGCAAATTTAAATATTCCCCCACGTTGTACGTAATTATTGTAATATTCTGTCCCTTATCGATCGAAAACTTACATAAAAAACTTCACCTATTTATATACGTATATGAAACAGTTTCTTTATGAATCACAGGGATTTACATGCTAAACTTTTTTTTTGTTGGACGTATTTGATACAATGAAGTACGGTGAAGATGAATATCTAACTGGACATCATGGCGTAACCTTCTTGTAATTAGATTACTATGAGGAACTAACTTCCTTGCTAGGTACATAGGTCTCTTGGTCATGATTATTCTGTGTACAAAGACTGACATTTAAAACTCAAAAACATTTTTGAGCTTCAGCCACCCGAACATCTCTTAGATGTAACACGGTTGTACCTACGAAGACCGAAAACAAAACGACAACAACAGTTTTGAATTTTCTGAATCTGGTCATTGTTATGGAGCCAAGACAATTATAAAATAGTACGAAACAGTAAAGCATTTTAGACATAACGAAACTCTACTAATTTCTTTCGAGTTTTGACATTGAGGATAGAACGTTTGGAATATAGAAGCATCAAGCTTCCAAATGTAGCTTTTAATATGATACAGAAATCTAAGAGATTTACGTCTAAAGTGACTAATTTGTTTCAAAACGACCATAGTTGGTTTTAGGACAGCTCTCGTATTCTGTCCAGTTTATATATTTAATGCTACAGACACTAACCAGACTTCTTCTTTTTTGTTTCAGATAATGTCGGCGACAAGAACTGCGAGCTGCACGGGAGCCAGCCTGCTCATATTCGCATTCATCGGAACTCTTTTATTCGAAGCAATAACCACAACAGAAGCGGCGCCTCGCCCCAGGTAGTTGTATAATGTCCTTTTTCTCATCGGCAAATCAAGTATGGGGGCTACAGGTCCTAGAGGGTCAACATTTCGTTTTTTTATAGTTTTCGTTATACCTTTCGTATTAAAGAACTCAGACTATGTAGAAGGAGCCAATCTAGGATTTGTTTGTCTCATTCTCATAGCACAGCTTAAATAACAATCAGCTTTGATTCGGTGTCACTATCAAAAACGACCGCTATTTCAACAGAGAAGATTGAATCGAAAAACTCGCCCTTCTGTAGAACCATCCTACTCAGGAGTGGTCAGAAGTGTCATGTTTCCTTCCTTTCATTGCAATGGAGAATTAGAGGGGGAATTCCAAACGCTGTCCCTCTTTGACAGCGCTTATGTTTACAGCACAATTCTTACGATTTATACGTATATACGAGTATTGTCACTCAGAATGTGTTTTTTTTTCGGTTAACAGAGCAATGAAGTTTTTAATATTTTATTCTTTAATATTACTGCACTAGTTAATTAAAAATGCCATGTTGTTCTTATATAATAAAATATTTCCTTGCTGAGGATTTCTGACCATTTTTTTCAAGCTGGCGTTGACCAGATAGAACACAATGGATTTAAGGAGCAATAATAGGATAAATTCTAGAAGTTCCACTGAGGTTTGAAAATTACCAGCCCCAAATATCGTTTGCGACCACCCTAGACGAAATCCTAAATTCACCCTCGGTTGGTTGTCACTTTGCTGGTGGCTTGCTCTCGTTTTTTTTCCGGAACAAAGACACGGATATTCTTGTGTTTCAGTATGTTGTGTTTGCCTATCGCTTATTTTTAGACAATCATATTCCTTTTAATTATTGGTTCATACAAACTACACTAGATTATATCGGAATATTATAATGTTTACGATTGCAACGCATATCTTCCCGCAGGGTACGCGGCAACACCGGCTGCTGCTGAACACTAAAACCTCTTTCATCGTTTTACTAGAGGAATTTACATGCCGAAATGACTGCTGCTTTTCACACCGTCAGGAGAATTTCATAGCTGATTGTTACCTTAACAGTGCCAATAGTTTGTAAATCAAAATACACTTGACAAAAGTCAATTTCTTGACAGTTATGTCATTAAAGTCGTAGTCTATTCGTCATTGTCCGTCAGAGCGGTCCGTGGGACCTTCGCTCTTTCTTAAAGTATCGTAGGTCAGTAGGTCTGTCAGGTCTGGTTGCCCATACCAAGTCAGGCATACAGAAAGAAAGAAGAAAGAAAGGAAGGAAGGGGGAAGAGCAAACAGGGTGAAGTGCGCCGGTTAAAGGGATGCCTTGCTATTGTTAACTGGTATTCGGTTAATTTAAATTAATCCAATAATTAATTTAAGAATTTGTGTGTGGCAAAAATCATAATTTTGGTTGGATATAGAATTGCACGATTTGATTTTGATCACAGTGCGAGCTGCGGTCTTGTGTGCTTGCGAACTTGCTCGACTGTGTAGTTAAAGTCGTAGTTTTAGTGTTATTTTTCAAACGTGTGAGTTAGTGTAACTAATAATATGTGGTGCGAGCAGATAATTGTGGTGTTAGACAATTTTAGGGCGTGCTACTTCTTACATGAATGAATACGTTATTCCTTTTAAGATAAATAAAATCTTACATGAAAATGTTTGGTTGAATATTTCAGGAGTAGAAATGATAGCAGATAATTAAGGTAATAAAAAAGCTGTACTACTGTACTAGAATACTCTGCAGCATGGCGGAGAAAGATTCAATATCAACAACACTCCTCAGTTCAGCCGGACTTATTTGATGATACATAGAACATTCCAAATAAACCGGGTATTTCAAATTGGGATCTCGGAAACTGTAAGAGATAGGAAATCATTTAAATGGAGACAAAGTTGGGTATTTGGGTAATTAACAAAATGCCGCTTAGAAAGTTTCGGAATTAAAAGTTCTTCCTGAGAAAGATGGAAAAAAACTAAATTTTGTCAAAATCGTTTATTTTTTTCCTGGCATCATTTGTACTGGGATTTCGAAATAAATTGCACATCAAATTGCCCCGTTTTCTCCTCTACAAGATGGCATAATTAGAATTTCAGTACGATGTTTCGTCCCTTGTCCTTCAGCATCAACTTTATTTTTTATTATCGACGCAACGTGGATTTTTGCACTGAGTCAAAAGATTGTACTAGGACTACAGCTACAAAATCATGCAAGAATGTTTTACAAAGTTGTGCACGTTGCGTAGGATTTTTGGCAATCTAACAGCAATCATTTATCAACGTATTCAGCGTTAATCAATGCAGCAAAATATATATATATATATAGATCGGAAATGTCAATTTTATATTGCCTATTTAGAGGCCAGATTAAGATTAACCCTCAGTCAACACATTCATTGCAACAATGGACAAGGCCTCTCATATAAAAAGCTTCCTCTTTTTTAGTTTATTTATTTTGGTGTACAGCCAACAGGCTGAGCACAGCTTTCAACCCCCCCCCCAAAATTCAACCCTTACTGCGGAAGAACCACCAACCCACAATAGTTCTTCATCCTTTGTTTTCTACGATAGCCCGGTTATTGTCCATACGTGAAATGCGCACAATCGTTCTGCTTATTACAGAAAGTTTGCCGTTTGATATATACAAATATGGTTAAGATCATCTGAAATGGTTTTATCAATAATTAAACGATTCTTCTCTTCAGGCCTCAAGTCAGGGGTCGAGCGGGGTGTTGGAATAATATTTTTAGGGAAATCTCATTCCAGCGCAATAAGGCATTGTTAAACCCTATTGAAATGTTATTTACGCCACATTAAATCAACTTATTAAGACAATTTCTTCGCGATCAAGACACGACATTGAAATCAATGTATTTATAAAAATGTACCCATATGACACTGCAAACACACGAGAGTAGGTACTAATTACCACTAATATAAAGTAAAAGAGGGTAGATCCAAAACTATACGTGATAAACAAAGAAGAAAAATATTTTGAAGTGTTGGCAATGTTCACTATGATGACCTCTAGTGATATCTCAGCACCAATAATGTTATGTTCACCTATGATTATATTCAAAACCATAACAATTTACTAATCATGATTTAATTATTCGTTCTAGTTATTCAACTGGATACTATTCACCATTGTCGCTAGAAAATCCAAATCCAGAATACCTGCTCCAGACCATCGCCAGACTGAGACAAGCACTGATCAACGATGACGACTTAGAAAAGTAAGTTTGAATACGATAAACATTGATTATATTATATAAAGTAACGAGGGGTTGTTTATTAAGCACAACAATAATACTGGTTTCATGACCTCCCAGTTTACTTCTTGGTTAGTTTGAATACAACCTTTCGTACATACATACATGCATATGGGACATTTTGTATATTATGGATATAATTAAGGCAAGTAACTAGGAGTTCGAAAATAAAAGTAAGCTGTATATGACACAATATTTCCATAGGTAATTGGTCTTATGTATATTCTTGTAAAATTGCGACCGGGAGAAGCTACTTCACTCATATCTAATTTCATAGAATAAATAATAAAACAATATTTGGAATAGGAAAACGAACGATTTCAATTCATAGAAGCGCCAAATGGATATATTAGTCCAATTTAAAAACATATACGTTATTTATATTTTCAGTATGAAATGGTAAATACACTATCGGGCATGATGAGATGTCATACAAATTGTAAACAAAGCAACTTGATCCGTATCTCATTCGTGGACTAACGTTGTCTTCTATGAATGGTTCTAAAAAGTTCCTAGTCAACGTAAAAAGTTATTATTTTCTCGTTTTATTAAAAAAACAGTCTTGGGTGTTGAATTCGTAAAAGAAATCAGCATAAATTTGTTGGAAATTGACACATCGATGGTTGGTATTTTTTTGCCTTCAACCCAAATTTCTGCTCTACTGAGCTAAGAAATATCAAGACTTCTATGTAAGCACAGAGCATCTCATATAATGGTAGACATAAAAAGAAAGAATAAGTAATATACACATAGGTAATCGTTACATTCCAAAGTTATTTAAAACTGAGCTCATGCGTCATAACCTCTGAACAATTTTATCTAATGTATTGCTTTCTACACATCTGCAAGGGAAATACTACGGTGATGATGCCGTAGGTTACGTCCAAACTGAACGAGATGATAAAATCTGCACAGTAAAATGTAAAATATGTCCCGAACATAAGATTGCTCCAAGCAATACTCATCGCTGGGTATATTTATTTCCCTGGGCATTCTAATCCACAGCTTTCCTGGGGTCCTTATCGATGTGCTTTTACATTCTCGGACGATACAATTACAATAATTACTATATTTTTCATACAAGCTAGTAGAAGTTATGTTTATATGTTTAAAAGTTTGGGAGATTATGCTATTGTCAGATGCTGCTACAAATGGTATGACGTCAAAGCACAATATATGGACCAAACTTAGCGGACAGCATTTTCGCCTGTCTGAGAAAAATATATTTATAAATTAAAGTTTTAGGGCCGTATCGTCAGTCGTTCCTACAGTTGTAGGACGCCTTTATGGCCTCTTGATTGTCATAGTCTTTTCTCTCCTTTAGAAGTATTAGTATTTCTAGATTTCACCTGTTCCGTGTCAGCTTCAGTGCTCTCCTATTGTGAAGTTATGTTTTCTTTTTCAATTGTAAGTTCAGGCTGATAAAACATGATGTAAATCAAAAGCTTGAACAATTTGATGCAAATAGGTATTTGTGACATAACCTCAAAATAGAGTGCTGAAACGCAACAGTAGAAAAACTATGAAAATCAAGGAGGCCATAAAGGCATCCTACAATATTGTACTAACGACTGACGATATGGCACTAAGTACTGAAAAAAAATGTAGTATTACTTTTTTGGTCTAATAGAACAGATATGTATTGACTATTCTCGACCTGCTTAAAAAATGTGTCAACTATTATATTGTGATTTTTGGACTAGATTCGATAACCTAATCTTAAGACATTGCACATCAAGCTGGATTTCGTTTCAGTAACATCAAGTAACATAATATTCCAAGCACTCTTGGCAATCCTATAGGACAGTATCACTGTGACTGTTAAGGAGCTTCTAAGCGAGCAATATTTTTTTTGCAATATTTGGCTATAACTATAGCAAGAGTAGCCCAGATATCATTAATATACTAAGTGACATATAAATCCGAACACCCAGTTTAAATGGTTTTATTTTAATAAAAGTTGGTGAATGTATTTATCTTACTGTAAATAACAAGTGAAACATTTTTCAGCCTTATCAGTTGGACATTCCTGCTTTTATACTGCTTTTTTTTAATTCACTAACGCTCTAAAAATGAATATTTCAGCCGCAGTAAAGAATCAACGTTGGCGGATTTTGGTTCTTGACATCCTTTACGATCGGTTACGATGCCTAGAGTACGGAGACCTGTACGATTTCGTCAACTTAGTGAGTTTGATAGGGGCCGTATAGTGGGACTTCGGGAAGCTGGACTTTCTTTTCGGGCAATTGCAGTTAGAGTGCAAAGAAGTGTAGACACGGTGGTTAGGTGTTGTCAGGCATGGCTTCGAGAAGGCCGTACGCAAAGAGCAAGGGGCACTGGACGCCGCCGTAGAACAACAGACCGTGAAGATCGCCGCCTAAGATTATTGGCCTTAAGGGACCGTTTCTCCACTACCAGGTCCATTGCATATGAATGGCTTGCAGAACACGGAAGACCTATTGGCATGCGAAGTGTTTACCGACGAATGAGAAGTTTTGGCTTGTTTCCATACCGGCCACACTGGGTCCTCCCTTTAACTCGAGAACACCGACGTAATCGCCTTGAGTGGTGCAGACAACGGTCACTCTGGGATCAGGAATGGAACAGTATTGTCTTTAGTGACGAGTCTCGATTTTGTTTAGGCATGCACGATGGTCGTGCCAGGGTTAGAAGGCGACGTGGTGAAAGAAGCAATCCACAGTTTTTTGTTGAAAGACATGTTCAGCACACTGTTGGAGTTATGGTTTGGGTGCTATAGCTTACTGGTTCCAGGTCACCTTTAATCTTTATCAGAGGTAACATGAACGCGCAGCGTTATATCCACGAAGTTCTAGAACCCCATCTTTTACCCTATCTTGACACCCTGGCAGATCCAACTTTCCAACAAGATAATGCCCGACCACATGTTGCAAGAGTCACAATAGACTTCTTTCAACATAATGATGTCTACATTGTTACCATGGCCACCAAGATCTCCCGACTTATCCCCAATTGAGCACGTGTGGGATATGATGGGTAGGAGATTGCTCAATTTGCAACGTTCTCCTCAGACTCTAGAAGCACTTCGAGAGGAGTTGGTGGTTGCCTGGAATGAGATACCACAGGGGGATATTGACCACCTGATCAGAAGCATGCCTAAGCGCGTTGGAGAATGCGTAGCACATCAGGGTACATCCACACATTATTAAAGGTCAAAGGGCTTTAAAGCAGTGCAATCATTTTGAAATTTTTATCATTTACTTATTATGCTTCATTCAGTACTTATACAAAATTTTATTAAAATAAAACCATTTAAACTGGGTGTTCGGATTTATATGTCACTTAGTATATATCATCAAATCCAGGGGAGGTAATAACTACTAATAACTAATACTTTTATGCCTCTTCACAAGGGCATTCGCTTTCAGAAGCTCTGATCCACCCGCCCCCTCTTCCCTTCCCGCTATTTAATTTTCAATCGCCAATACACCCCCCTCCCAAAGACAATTTCATAAACTTTCTACTTTGACTAAGTGACCCGACCTCCCCTACTCAAATTCTCGATTCCTCCTTGCTGGAACATTCTCCACAATCCGATCCAGGAAGACTCTTATCACAGATAAACTGATCAATCAGTTTATGGAAGATACTGTCCACTAATCAAATCTCCAATGCTCCTACCGCCTATTCCGATTGACTTATCTACCAATGTACTAGATGTCCTGTATGTAGGCATGTAGACATATCAATATGACTCTATTTATCGTAGTTGCCATGCTATGAATTATCCGTACTGTTGTCCAATTATTCATACGTCTGCATACTCGTACATGTGTTTGTTGTTCGCTGCCCCAACGCAACTTTTACTTGACGTGATGTGTACAGTATCTGCTGTGTTCTACGTGTGCCTGCGGTATTAAATTGTGAAAATCCGTTTTCGCTTTCCCGCATAGTCGGAAAAGCCAACAACGCATCACGCACCAGGTTCCTGCTTGAAACACGACGGTAAATAGGTATACGGCAGCAATAATTTCCAGGAAATCAGTTCCGTAGCAGCTGCAGTAATGTAACGTGTTTATCATGAGTTATGGTTTTAGAAACCATTTTCCTTTTAATTCATCAAAAATAGATTCAGTTTCCATATCTTCGAGTAATTCAAACACAGTGTTTCTCTAAAAGGCCCCCAACTTATTTTTTCGATTTCCAAAGTATCGGGCACAAAACATATGGAAGTTCACCATCGGTCAATGTTAATGAAAATTCGTATACAAATAGTTCATGTTGTGCTGATCAAATGTTCCAATGGGAGCATAGCCCAGAAATGCTTTCTGTTGAAGACACAGTGTGTTAAAGTTTGGTTCCAAAGCCTCTATGCAACATTTTACGAAAACTAACTCATGTTTATTGTAGACTTCACAGTTTAATGAACACACAAAAAAAAACTATCTAACTAACTAACTAACATCTAATAGGTGTGTATTCCTAAATTATTTGGAGATACACAGACTGTTGCAAAGTTGACGCATAAATACTATATTCAAGTAGAACAATAAAATAGGAGGCTCGTGATAGTTAATTTTGAAGCACCTGATTGGTATTTTATAATCCTAAAATAGTCGCGATCTATCAAAATGACAAATTGGCAAGCTGACAAAGATGAGCTTAATTGAACATTGAATCGCAACAATTCATTAGGCCGCAACAATATGGTATACCAATCTTTTTTCTTTTGCAATAGTCTACCTGAATGTGCGATAATATGTGAGACATTCGGTTAAAAAATGGACAGATTTTGACATTTTTTCCAAATGAAATATTCCGTATTTTATTACATTTCCGAATTCATTTTTCCAAGATAGAAGATTTGGATAACATACTATAATAGCGTTTTGATGATAAATTGTTTGTTGAGATACAGGCGATTCAGTATTTAGAAAAACGCTCAACATTGACAACCTGCGAGTCCGCAATTTTAAAAGATGGCG